TCCATCATTGGTCCCTAAAGGGCATGTAATACTATGTAAATGTGCAAATTAGAAAACACATTCCAGGCTGTTGATAAACTTGATAGGGTAATCAGCACATGCTGACAGACTAATGAAACTGATGAACTGATAGGGCAGCTTCTTTCCTGGGCCATTTTTTCCTTGTCAAATAGAAGCTAATCAAAATGTATTAGGAATTAAAGTAGACACTCGAGGGATTTAACTCATTTGATTAGGAGGTGAACTTGCTCTCAGATAAAATTATAGTTTCCTGAAGAACTTAAACTCTAAAACCTGATCAGCAGATAAAACTAAGCAGAAGGCAGCCATCACAACTACAGAAGAAGTCTGGGATTTTAAATTACATTAAGATCTTCCCATCAGACGTTATTATGGTGATTTTCAGAGCTAGGGCAAGGCAATAACTTCCTCGATAATGGAACAGCACACAAAGGACAAAGCAATAATCCCCAGGGACACACTTATCGTTGGCAGCCTATGTGCGCTGTGCATCTGTGTAACCACAGAGAAAGATTGGAAGGTGTCAGCTGGATTTTGCAATGTATTTATATAAAATAATTGAATGAATTTGCTGAAATCATTAACTATGTTGAACACCATCTCCCATTAACAATAAAGATCCCACATGTAGCTTTGCCAAGAATCTTACAATCAATGGTAATTTGAAGAGAGACATATTATTTGATACCTGAGAAAATTTGGAAAAGGTCTTTCTAAGAAGTAAAGAATAAACCTATAAGTTTAAACTACTGTGTCTTTTCAGACAGAGCCAAAGGAAGTAATAATTTTAGTACTTATTTTGACATGAAAACATGCAGCAGTAAAATAGAATAACCATTCAACTAATAAAATCCACATACTTCAGACATACACATTGTGGTGATGTCCACTCCAGTCATGTGGATAAATTGATGCTGAAATGGTAGGTATTAAAACAATGGGTGTAATTCACAGATTTTATTGGCAAAAGCACACTTAGTGAAGGCATTTTATGTTTTACTAATTATACCAAAAACATTTGAAAATTATGCAGAGTCTACTATACTATGATCATTAAAGCACTCTTCCTACACAGGCAAACTGGGATAGCATGTTTGTTATTCTGTTGCCTGAAGCCTCGTGATTTATTCCCAAATTCCGTGTGATCTATCTTTAGAGCGGCTTGTATGCTATTGTTTAGTCAACTAATAACTTTAACCTGCCTGCTTGCCCTGCAAAAATCTTAGTATAAAGATGCCCAGAAAAACTCAATGAAGTGTGCATTGGTCCATCTTGACTTTGCATCCCTTGAGTCCCAATTCTTCACATAACTGTCATTCCTTGGGTCCTTCCCCACCCGCCCCTGAGAGACCCCCTCAATATTTAAGATGTGGAAACCCAGAACAGATTAGAACTATTTAATGAAAAACAGTAAAAAAAAAATCCATAATTTGAACAAAGATAGGGATATCCGAGTATAGGAAGCACACAGGACTCTTAATATGCATGATTATAAAAGATTTTTATCAAGGGCATATTATACTCAAACTTACAAAAGTAAACCAAAGATACTAAAATACAAACAAGAGAAACTCTAAGCACCTTCAATGATTCTTCAATTAGATTGATATTTGATTTCTCATTAGAAACTCTACCGCCTAGGAGAGAATCGAGATACATAGTCTAACTCCTAAAAGAAAAAACTGTCAACACACACTATTTTACCCATGAACCTCTCATGCATAAATGAAGGCGAAATAAAGACCTTTAAGACAAATAACATCAATTTCGTTCACAATAGCTACAAAAATTTTTGAATAACGGGATTATATTAACTCAAGAATGTTCAAAGGCTCTACCTTAAAAACTATGAAAGAGAAAGAAATAGATTTCTTAGAGAAGACACCAAAGGCACAGGAAGTGGAAGTAAAAAATAAACAAATGGGACTATATCAAACGATGGTGCTTCTGTACAGCAAGGCAAATGAACAACGAAGCAAAGAAGTAACCAACAGAATAGGCAAAAATCTTCGCACAAAACCCAACAGAGAGTAGGCAGATATTCAAGATCTACAAAGAGCTTCTACAAGAGCAAAACAAACAACCATATTAATAAATGGACAAAAGGCATAAGCAGATACTTTTTGAAAAATGATTACAGTCACATGAAAACATGCTCAGGTCCCCTGGCTATTAGAGCAATGCAAATAAAAAATCACAATGAAGTTCCATATAACTCCAGTGAGAACGGCACACACTCAAAAATCAATAACAAAAACATTGTTGAGGAAGTGAGGAAAAAGGTTCCCTAATTCACTTCTGATGCTAACTACTTTAACCACTATGGAAATCAGCAGGGAGAGTGTTCAGATAACTAAGAATTGATCTATCATAGAACCTAGCTGTCCCACTCGTGTGAATATATTCAAAGAAAGCAAAATCTGCATTCAAGAGAGCAACCTACAACTCTGTCTACAGCAGCAAAATTCACCATAGCAAGGATGTGAACTCAGCTCAGATACCCATCAACAGAGCAACGGATAAAGAAATTGTGTTGCACTTATCCATGGAATACTGCTCAGTCATAAAAGGAAGAAAATCTTGTCATTAGCAAAAAAAAAAAAAAAAAAGTGGTTCCAACTGGAAACGTATGCTTAGTGAAATAAGCAAATCCCTCAAGGACAAATATATGTTCTCTGTAATATAAGATGGCCAATATGAAAGCACAATATATCTACACACAAATATTTACATGTAGTCATACATATGAATACTACCAAAATTTAAACTCTAAGATACTATAGCATACCCCATAGAAAAATCAACTTACAATAGATCTACACTAAGATCTAAAAGCATCCAAATGTTTGTGGAAAACACAAAAAACACCACAAAACAGTGTCATTCGCAAGCAATTCTTGGGTAAGATTCCAGAGGCATAGGTAATTAAAAATAAAAGTACACAGAAGGGATTATATCAAGTTAAGAAGCTTCCATGCAACAAATGAAACTCTCAACAAAGAAGCTACTGACAGAATGTTAGAAAGCATTTGCAAACTCTATATCTGATAAAGATGTAATATCCAGAATCTATAAGGAGCTCAAGATCAACAACAACAAACAATCCAGTTAGGAAATTGCTAAGGATATAAACAAGAATTTTTTTGAAGATTGAAATACAAATGGCCAACAGACACCTGAGAAGTACTCAGGATCACGAGCCATTAGGGAAATATATTTATAACCCACAATGAAGTTTTGCTTCTTCCCAGTTAGAATATTATCACCTGAAAATAAAAAAATAACAAATGCTGGTAAGGATGTGGGGGAGATGGGTATCCTAATATTCTCTTGGTGTGAGTGTGAACTAGCAAAACCATTATGAAAGATTTCTCAGAAATCTGAAATAGATCTACCATATAACCCACTACCCAACTCATGCAAATTTACTCAAATGAAATCAGCATATGCAAGAGTTACTTACATCCTGAAGCAGCTCAAGTAACAGTAATTAAGATATGGAGTCAACCCAGAGGTCCATCAATGGATGAAGAAAATGTGGAATGCCAGTCACAAAGACAAATATGCTTTCTTTCCCTGATTTGGAATTTGTATCAACTAATATGTAAAGCATTAAAAAAGTTATTGTGTATGAGTAAAATGGAAAACAAAAGGGTGAGGTATTGTCTTAGAGTCACAAGCTCAATTTGCTGTATTCACTCATGTCCACTTTCAAGTAACTCATGTAACAATCTTACAGAAGACAGCCAAGAGTCCTTCATATGTAGGTATTTTATTAGGCTTCATTGTTACAGATTTATTTATTTGAAAGACAGGGTCACATAAAGAGACGGAGAAGGACAGAGTAAAGATCTTCCATCCCCTGTACTGCTCCCAACACACCTCACAGTTAGGGCAGACTTAAATCAGGAGCCAAGAGCTTCTTCTTGGTTTCCCACATGAGTGCAGTGGCCTAAGCACTTAGGCCAAATTCTGCTGCTTTCCCCAGCATGTTAGCAAGAATCTACATCAAAAGCAGAACATCCAGCAATTGAACTGGTGCCCATTTAGTTTGCGGGCCCTGCCCAGTGTATCAAGGTGTCATTATTATATTAGAATTTCTACTTTATGACCCTAGTTCTTAACCAAAAATACATACTTAAGATTCGTAAAGTTTCTTAGATTATTATTCAATACAGGGAAAGGAATGTTGGGGCCATGACTTGCAGCACCAGTATCCTATATGAGTACCAATTCAAGTCACAGATTCTCCATTTCCTATCCCCAGATCCCTATTAATGGGCTTGATAAAATAGCAGAGATGGCCCATGCCACCCACAGGGAGACCTGGATGAATTTCTAAGTCCAGATTTCAGCTAGGGCCAGGTAATTCTGGCCAGATGGAAGAGAGCCAGTGGATGGAAAATCATTCTCTCACTTGCTCTGTAACTATCTTAAAAAAGAGAGAAAACAGAATGACTATATCATTTTTAGCATAAGAGATCACTCTGAAAAAAGCTAAGATCCCATTTATCCTGAAAACAAGTTAGCAGTTTTGCCTCATCTTTTATATGCATCGACATCCATAAGTCTCAAGCCATGCTTACTTTTCAAAATCTTCTGATCAAGAGAATAACTGGTAAAAATCACTATGAATTTGCTTCATTCACTAAGATAAACATGTGCTATACTCATCTCTAAATATAATCAGGATTTTTTTTATATGTACAATGGGCATTTTTTTTCTATTTCTAGAATCCAGCTAATATTCCAATTACCTGTGATTTTCAGAGTTCCTTGTAATCATGGTTTGCGACCAACATCTTACAATAGGACATGAAATCACTATTATCAGAACACACAGCTTTCTCAGATTTCAGGTTGATACTGATTGTGAGTAAAGTTTTTTCATGAGGACTAACAGCATGATTTATTTGAATTTCATTTAACTTTTTCAACAAAACCTAAAATATGTACTCAAACATCCATGTTTTACTTACCCATCATGTTGTATAAGCTTTGTGGGGCAAACTGCCTTGGCATTTTCTGAATAGCTTCCTTGTATACACTCAGGGCCTCCTAATTGAGGAAATAAAACCAAAAGGTAGATCAGCACTAAAGTACAGGAATATTTGCTAGAAACAAGATAGCTAACATTCTTCTAAATGAAAAACATTCATTATTAACTAAATAGTTCACATGAAGAAATAATTGGACTGCCCTTTCATGACACACTAATCTCAATTCCACATATGAAAACGTTCTGCTACTGCAATGGAGAATGGCATATCAACATTTAGTTTAACTGAGAATCAGATGTTACCTATTCTCCCTTATTACAAATTTTCTAGTTCACACATTTAATCAAAATCTAATAAAATCATATTTGCAAGTCACCCAAAATTTGAGTTTGAGCTAGTTCACTCTCCAGGATTTAAATGTCTTCATAAATAAGCTTATCAGACTACGAGGCACACTGAAATTATTAGATGCAATTATTTAACAAGCGTTTTGTTTTCGTGTTTGTTTGTTTGTTTTGCTTTTCTGTTTGTTTGAAGGGCAGATTTACAGAGAGAAGGAGAGACAGAGCGAAAGATCTTCCATCTGCTGGTTCAGTCCCCAAGTGGCCCAAATGGTTGGAGCTGAGCCCATGCAAAGCCATGAGCCAGGAGCTTCCTCCGGGTCTCCCACATGGGCACAGGGTTTCAAGGCTTTGGGATGCCTTTGACTGCTTTCCCAGGCCACAATCAGGGAGCTGGGTGGGAAGAGGAACAACCAAGAAATGAACTGGTTCCCATACGGGATCCTGGCACATGTAAGAAGAGGACTAAGCCACTGGGCCATCATATCAGGCCTTTAAGAAGTTTTATATTCATCTTTAGATTGCATTTTCAACATAACGTATAAGTTTATGGGCAAGTTTGGGACGGGTTGAAGAAGAGAGGGATTGGAAGCAAACATGTAACAAACACAACAAAAAGAAAAGGAGGACCATTCTGGGTCATGTATTCAGGCTACAACATTCTGAGGCACTGCTTTTCCTTTGTCTCAGATTAAAAGTCTTTTGTTTGTTTTGATTTTTATTTTGTTTTAGTTCTAAAGATAATTTTTTAAATGGGTAGGATTTACGTTAAATCATTTTTTAACAAAATATTTGAAAGGCAGAGAGATAGGGAGAGAGAGATGGAGACACAGACTCCCCATTCCCTGTTTCATTCCACAAATGCCCACAAAGGTCAAGTGGAGGTAGGTGACCCTTCAACCAGGACCTAGGAACTTATTCTAGGTCTCCCACCAGGGTTAGAATTACTTCAGTCATTTACTCAAACCTTTGCACTTGCCTTCCATAGCATATGTTAGCAGAGACGAGACTCAAAAACCAGGATTAAAGACAGGCTAACCAATATATTTAGCTGTCCTCTTAATCTAGGCTAAATGCCCACTCCCAAATCACTTCAATACTCGGAAACAAATAATGCATTTCTCACAAAGTATCAAACCCTGAGAGCCTGTGTTCACTGTAGTGTTTAAGCCCTCATATCAAAGTTCTCGGGTGTGAGTCCCAGCTCAAGTTCTAACTTCAGCTTCCTGTTACTATGCTCCAGATGATCACTCGAGTACTTGAGTTCCTGCCATCCATACTGAAGACAGATTGAAGGCTAGGCTCCTGCCTACTGCCTGCCTTAGTCCTGCCTTTTGTGGGTATTTGGGGAGTGAATTGAGAAGGAAAGAGTGCTCTGTGTCTCTATCTCAGTGCAACTATCTCAGTGTGTCTGTCTTTCAAATGAAATGAGAATGAATATATACATACATACACATATATATATATCTATAGGATTTTGTATATAACATTATATATATAGTTCTACATTGCTAAAGAGTGTCTTTTAGCATAAAATTTTTAAAAATCATGAGCAAATCATGAGACACAACAGATCTTATTTCTCTAGCATCAATAGTCATAATACCTGTTGACATAATTGATCTGAGAACCTCAACCATGTGACATCTTTCAAATTCTAACTTAGTGGAAGTTTTATACAAACAAATTTGCTCACAGGATGGACTTATGAGTGATTGTGAAAGACTATATTCTTGTAATGACATGAGGATACTTGGGTGTGGGGAGAAGGGAAATCCCAGAGCCTGTAGAACTGTATCATGGAGTAATAAAATAAATTAATTAAAAAAATATAAAAAAAACCCACAAATTTCATCACAAAACTCCCTTAAAATAAATACACACTAGGTTCTCTAAAAACAAACAGCAAGGGTCCGTGTAGTTATTTTAGGTTCAAAAACATGGAGAATGAATCAGAACAAGGGGGAAACGAAGGGCTGGAGTGGATCTGCCAGACCTCATAGCGTCCCTGCTCATGATACAGCTTTCCCAGGTTGTACAGACAGCTCGTCACAGAGCTCCTGTGTGCGTGGGGGTCCTTCAGGTTTTCATCTGGGATCTCAGAACACTTGAGGAACGTGCGCCGGGCTTCTTCTGTTTTTCCTTGGTTCATTAGAATAATGCCCGTGTTTAAATACGCAGCTGATGGGAGGAAGTAAAAACACAAGTTATGAGAAGATGATATGCATTGTGGATAAAATAAAATCCTGTCTGATGAAGGTTAGCTTTTGTGGGTATTGTGTGATTTTTTTCAAAAACAAGAAATTCAATTTTATGGAGCACATATTCGCAGGAGTAAGAATGATCACGGGAACTGCTTATACCACTGGAAAATGCATGCAGTGTCACTGCCCTCGAGGAACCCCAGACATTTTGGAGGTTAAAATTTAGTTGAGGAACTACTTTAACATAATTTAAAATGATAAATAGTCATCAAAACGATACAAATTTAGAGAAACACTACGGCTAGGGGTCTTAATTTTAGTAACGCTTATTCGGAAATCAGAACACACAGTTCTTTCTTAGATACTGCAAGTCACAATGAGAGTAATTTTCGCAAATGTAAAGAGGTTTGAAAGAAAATGAAAAGTACTTACAAGCCAGGGTAGGTCGGCTCCCAATGGCCAATTTGTAATAATGTAAGGCTTCTGCGAATCTGCTGTTCTCCTGGAGAAGCAACCCTCTGCGGAAGCAAAAGAGAAATCTGCTATTAGGCAGGCAGCAATGAACATGCAAGGAACGAGCACACTGACAATGTGCATTGCGATATACACACACCACAATTTCAATTTAATATTCCAAAAACAAAAAAAATGCTTAGGAACACAGTAAAAATGCTGGTCTACCGCTATAAAAATAAATTTAAATAGCTATAAAAATAGAAAATCCTGGATAGCTCTCACTGTGTTTACCTTGCGTTAGAAAGTATGTAGTAGTAGTTTCAAAAAGTCTTCTAATACTTCCAAACTTTCCTTATTCTAGCTGTCTTTTCCTTCTCCACTAGAATTACTAACGAATGACCTGGATTTTTTCATGGGCAAGCCCATTTTCTCATCATTTGAAAAAGGGAGCTTGTCTATGCAGTAATGTATGGAAATGGGAGATGTCTCTCCCATTAGCTGTGTTACTAGGGAAACTGGTCCTCAACTGCAGAAAAGCAAAAGGTGATCCAGGTCAACAGCATCCTGTGCTGCAAAAGGACAAAGGGAAGGACTGAAGGTTGTCCCCAAAGCCATCGTGGTATCTCGATTTAGTCTATCACACTGTGCACCCTTCATTCAGTCCACTGCTCTGAAAAACACCCACTCCACAGATACTGACACTCTGTATGTCTCCCTAGGATGGTCCTTAGGTGGTGTCACATATAATTACCCTGCTGTTTCAGATCCACCCTGCTGACCTCAATGAATATCAACTACCATCATGGGTGAAAAGGGAATTGAAGTCAGTTCACAGAGCACTCAGGGCCTTTGAGTCCACGGCCATTCTGCTGTCATTAGTATCTCTGAGACCTGAGCCACAGCTATGGGCCCCAGTGCTGCTGCTGGCAACACAAATTGCAGATTCAACTTGGAAGCTGGCTGAGGCCTTTGAAAGACAGGTCAAAGGGAAGTATGAGAAAAGAGAAGGCTGTTGATCAACAGTGATTTGACTATTGCAAAAAGCTCTGATTAAATTGAATATGCATCATGAGAAAAAAAACACTGAAGAAAATTAGTTTGAAACTAGTGAGTGCTCACTGATCTCCTCAGTATATATAAACAATTCATTTTTTCTAATACTTGAAAAAAGTTATTTGAAAAGATGAAGGAATTACCAAGAACATTAAGATCACACTTTCATACATACTTAAATGTGCACTTACACAAAAGGATTCTGAGCAATAATTAATTTGATCCCAAAGTGGAAAAAAAGTGTGCTCGAGTGTATTTATCCAGTGCTGAGAAGGAGAGAGAGTGGAGTTTCCTCCTGTACTCTAAGGTTTGAGAAAACTGTCGGTTGTGAGTAAGCTGAATAAAATGTTAGGAAGAAATCTACCCTTGTCAAAAGGAATAATATACATTCTTTGCAATCATTTGGCTGATATACCGCTTCCCACTTAATGGAGATCCTGTTAGATCTCTTGAAAGCTCCTGAGCATCTGCATTGTCTTTTGCACTTTTCTTTCCATTCAGACAGAAGGGCCATTCTTGGATCTAAGGTTGATTGCCCTACAAGAGAAGTGTCATCTACACAGGCAACTCTGCTAATCCGAACTTCCTTAGAAATTACAACTCCTATAATATACAAAAGAGAATACACAATATTGAAAAGATTCCAGACCTATTCCTCCCTCCCCATTTTTCTTTCCCTCTGAAGATTGCTATCAAGTTCGTGAGTCTCTTTAGACAGAAGGGGAGAAAATTGCCGTACAATAGTTATTTACTTCTGCATTCATCTATACTGTTTATTATTGTGCTTCCATTCCAAATCAGATTTGCTTTAAGGTTAACCTATGCCACATATTTCCAGTTTCTAAATTCCACTTGATACTAAACCTTAGGCTCTAATCCCAGAATCCTCCTTTCATATCAAAATTCTACTAATTCTCAAACCCTCAAAATAGTGTCCTTTTGTGAACCACCCATTTAATCATAGCACTGGAAACTTAAATTCCTTTTGCTTCCCGAAACTGTATTTTCTTGGCTTCCACAAGACCAATCTCTCCTAATTCTCTTCCTTTCAGGAGACCATCCTCTGCAGACTACAGCAGAACATGCCTGTGGATCCAGGCATTCCTTTTCACGTTTGCTTTTCAAAGTTTGCCTTTGTCACTTCTCTGGATAAGTACTTTCTGCACATGACATCATACATTCATGTGACACCTGCGAATGCTGACTGTTCTCTCCTGATACCTGGATCTGTCTTGAACAGCTCTCTGAGCCTCATCAAGTTGTGGGCTCACTGGGATTTCAAATTCAATGCATCTAAAATTGAAAACATTCCACATACTGAAAAACAAACATAAATGAAACAGAACAAATAGGAGGAAAAAAATCTCTTTAGTGATAAACACCATCATATATTCCATTTGCAAAATTCAGAAACCTGATAAGCATTCCTGATTCTTATCTCCGCAATTCCAGATTCCATGACGTGTCCTAGGCCCATGGAGTCCACAGATTTTTAATTTTTTCAGGCTCTTGTTTCTGCCCCCAAGGTTCATCTTCATGATTCTGCCACAGCCCTTTTTCATCTTTTCTGTCACCTCAATAACTGCAAGAGCCCACTAATTAGTCCCCACATAATTATATTTCTAAAGGTCAAATCTGCTATTAGGCAGGCAGCAACGACTATGAAAGGAACGAGCACACTGACAATGTGCCTAAGCCCATAAAACTTGAAAATGGATGTATTTAGCCTCCTGGGATCCCTAATGTTAACATATTAAATTATTGTCATTTTCTAGCACATAAAACACACACAGAGGAGAAAATAATAAATAGTATGGAAACCACACCAAGACAATCTCGCTGGGCCAGCCTATTCTTTGGGCGATCCTGATCACAGCTAAATACTGAGGCATGCATAAGGCAAGTCTCCAGGATGACACACAGCATAGCTATCAGGATTTCAGAATACCCTTCTCCAGACTGTCTTGATCAGGTCAGCAATGGTGTGACTGCAACTTAGAGGGCTGCTTCAACAGCTCTCCTGTGGGTTCAGGAGTTCCGTGAGCATGGCCTACAGCCTGATGCACATGCTGCAGCCATCAGCCGGTCAGAGAAGAGCTCCCCAATGACAGCACAACCTACTGGGAGAAACAACTGAGAAAATGAACAGCACGGACAACTACTACATTGGAGGGTGGAAAAGCAGCATCACTTGAGGCATGGACTCCAGAGGTCTAAAGCCATGTGATAATGGTAGACAGCTGACAGCATACGGCAGTAAGAAGCATTCCCCGCACTGTCCCATGACATGGCTGCAGTCATAGTAATATCAGCAGACACAGTTAAGACTTAAAATGTGCTGAATAGTTTTATAACTCACATATTTCTACTCAGCATCAGATCAAGACTAGTTTCCTTTCCTAAATTATGAACTTCAGGAAGAAAAAATAAAGTATTATACCAAAGGCTAAACAGCTAATACTAGGTTTGTCAAAGCCCACACCCAGTTGTCTGGCTGTAAACAAAAACCTCTATTTCAACAGATTATCAGGAACGAAGGCTTTTCCATGACTACTTTAACCAAAGATACAGTTTGTTTACATGCTCAACATGTCACTGAAACATGCTCTCCATGTGGACTAAAACCAAGAACAGAGTTTAATATACCATCATATCAGAGTCTAGCGACAAACTAATTTTTCAAGGAAATCACACCATATATCAATGTGAACGTAAAGGGCTTCTGTGAGAGAAATTGAAAAAAACATATGTTGCTGAATTTTAACTTGTTGGTAGGGTCAAGTTTATAAATCTCTGAGTGTGTGAATAGGCCATAGCATTGTTTTATAATAAATATTATTTTCATACTACCTTTCAAAGGATTTATTTTTCAGAAAATCTCAGTAAAATTAGATGGTTGCATACAAAGAATATAAATTGGGCAAAATGTAATAAAGGCAAGTATTTGTATTAGTTAAAGTGAAAAAATTTATCTATATTTTTACAAGCTACTACTCTTGTAACACCGGAATTCCAGGAAATCACTTCACTTCAAGAATAATCTTCTGTTTTAAATCTTTATATGACTTTTTTTGATAATACATTCTAGGAATACCTATAACATACAAATAGAATTTCTTTTCCCTGTGAAACTTCTGCCCATCTTCTCCCCAGTTTCCCCTAACAACTCTGCATTGTCTAAATGACCATTCTATGTTTTAAGTCACAATAATCTGGACACTTGATTAATGAAAACCAGTCAACCCATGATACCAGTGGATTGGACAAGAATTGAATACAGACACTGAATGTAAATAGGCACACAAATCCCTCCCGATTCTAAACACTGAGACACAGAAGAGGAATGATTATTTAGCACAGTCATTCTCAACGACCGGTGTCTTTTTCCACCCAGGGGATATTCAGCAAAGTCTGGAGACATTCATTGCTGTCACAATTACGGGGATGTCTGGTGGGTAGAGGCCACAAACGCTGATCAACATCTTACAACGCACAGAACAACACACCACAAGGAGCATCAAACAACGATAGCGCAAAAGCTGAGAAAGCACAGCCAGCAGTCCTTAGCAGCAAGTGCAACACAATCCTTTAGCAATTAAGGTCTTTGGGGCTGGTGCCATGCGGTAACAGGCTAAGCACAAGCCTATGGCGTCCACTTCCTATATGGGTACTAGTTCACGTCCTGGCTGCTCTTTTCTGATTCAGCTCCCTGTTAATGGCTTGGGAAAGCAGAAGAGGATGACTCAAGTCCTTGGGCTGTTGTACTTATATGGGAAACCCTGAAGAAGCTCCTGGCTCCTCGCTTCAAATCAGCTCAGCTTTAGCCATTTTGGTCATTTGGGGATTAAGCCAATGTTTGCAAGACTTCTTTTTCTGTCTCTTCTTTTCTCTGCAACTCTACCTTTCCAGTAAAACTTGAATGAATCAAACAAATTCAAGTCTGGGCACTCCTGTCAATAATGCATAAGAAATTCACAGGGAATACAAGTTGTAGAGACTACATTTAAAA